CCTCGCTGTTGTAGTTGTGAAAGAATGTAGGTGAGTTGAAAGAATGATCCTTTTTCTTTTAGAAATGGAACAAAGAGAAGGCAATGGAATCCTTTTGTAGTTACACAATAAATATATCATAACAAACCCTTGTATTGGTTGCAGCCGGCTGATACAAAATATTTATCACTTGATGACGGTCGGAAGTTGTGCTTAGAGTGTCTAGATTCTGCAATTATGGACACTCATGAATGCTGGCCTCTTTACCTTGAAATCCAAGAATTTTATGAAGGATTAAATATGAAAATAGAACAACAGGTTCCTCTACTTCTTGTTGAGAGGCAAGCTAACGACGACATGGAGGGCGAAAAGAATGTAAGGGTTAAACATGAAAAGTTTTACCTCTCAGAAGAAATTACCTTAAGTCTTGTTTAAAATAACATTTTACCTTTGGACAGGACCATCATCACTTACTTGAAACTAGAGGCCTCTGCTTGTCCGAAGAACAGACAGTTACCACTGTATGAAATTTCCTCCCGTATTCTTCTCAACTCCGGTATTGCAGTTTTATCAAGATGCCCTGATGTTTAACTAGATTTACACGTTTATTTGAGTCCGGTTACCAGGTCTTGAGGAGGCCAAGGATTGGAGCAGGCTATCGGTTCATAGACATGATTACTGAGCCTCACTGGCTAATTCGTCGATGTGAAGTAACGGCAATTCTCATTTTGTATGGTCTTCCTAGGTATCATCTCGCGTTTCCTTGAATTCCTTCCAGTGCTGTATTTTTGTATATTTTTTTTTGTTAGAGAGGGAGATGGGTTTTGTATTTTTGTTATTTTTACCTACGATATAGTTGGCTGAAAAAGGAAAAATCTCTCTCTCTCTCTCTCTCTCTCTCTCTCTCTCTCTTTTTCTGTATATACAGGCTGCTGACAGGATCTATCCTGGCTCATGAGATGATGCACGCTTGGCTTAGGCTTAAAGGTGTTTATCTGTTCTATAAGTTTATTATCGATGCTTGCAATTCTTTTAATGTTATTGAATGAACTATTATCAAAGCGGGAACTTTGACAGGTTATCCGAATCTGAGTCCTGAAGTCGAAGAAGGAATATGTCAGGTTTTGGCACATATGTGGTTGGACTCTGAGATCTACGCTGCATCGGAAAGTGATGCAGCTTCATCCTCCTCGTCATCTTCGTCTTCATCATCGTCAACATCGTCTACGTAGTAAAAGAAAGGCAAGCGCTCCGATTTTGAGAAGAAACTTGGTGGCTTTTTTAAGCAGCAGATCGAGTTAGATTCATCCGCGGCTTACGGAGAGGGATTCAGGTTAGGTCATCAAGCAGTGAACAAGTACGGTCTTCAAAGAACAGTCGATCATATTCATATTACAGGAACTAGGTAGGTAGGTAGGTAGGTAGGTAGGTAGGTAGGTAGGTAGGTAGGTAGGTAGGTAGGTAGGTAGGTAGGTAGGTAGGTAGGTAGGTAGGTAGGGGTGTCCAAAATTCGGTTTGAATCGAATTAACCGATTGAATCTAATTAGTTCGGTTAATTCGGTCGGTTACTGAATTAGTTCGGTCGGAGAACGATTAAGGATTTTTTTGAAATTCGATTAACGGTTAATTCGATTCGAAGTCGGTTAATTAATCGAATTAATAGAATTAACCTTTAAATATATAATTATATTAAGAGATTTAATCGGCCTAATCTATTTAAAACACATTTAAAACACAAATCAATATTAATTAATTAAAACAATCTCAATACTAAATGTAAAATGTTTGAATCAAATTAATTAGATATTATTTATAATTATATATTATTTAAATTAATTGTAAATTATTATTTTTAATTAAAAAATATTAAATTTTGAAATTCTAAAAAAATTTGGTTAATTCGAAAATTAACCGAATTAATCGAAATTTATTCGGTTCAATTAATACTTTAAAAAAAATGGTTAATTCGGTTAAGGATATTTTGGTTCGGTCAGCCATTGTTTTAACCGAATGAACACTCCTAGAAATCAGGAAGCTTCCCTTTCTGATTAACGAAAGCGAACTATAACCATTTGAGAACCGGATTCCTGTCAATTAAAATATTAAACATTGAAAGAAACAAAAAATACAGAATTAATTACATGATAGAACTGAATAAGCAAATGAAAATAGGTTCATTTGCGACTATTGTAATTTTCTCCTCACGGTATGTTGCTAGTTATTACACTGTACTTGAATATTATTAAACCATAAGAAATAGAATAATACAAATACATGTAATATACATTTTACCTCGTACGCATCTTTTTCTTTTCTTTTCCTAAACAGCAAGATTAAGCCGCCGACTTTTGAGTTTTGAGCCTCTAACTGCTACCACTGCTATTGCAAATGGAAGAGGCTGCCATTACAATTTCAAAGGAGCCCGTATTTTGGCGCGACCCAGCCATTGGATACACATTTTAAGCAGACTCTAGGAACTTCAACGACCCCTCGAAACTTTTATGAGATGCGTTTGTCAAAAACCTCTCATGCAGGTAAGGATAGACTTAGAGGGGCCGGCTAAAAATTTTAAATTCTTATATATTTTAAATATTTTTTTTAAAATTTTATGATGTTCAGTATCCGTCCCTGCATGCAGGCCAAGTGTTTGTACTTTTGTCATAGCGAAAAGCCATGACCCAAAGCTAGCCTATTGATTGTTTCCCATTTTTTGGGGGTAAATTACACTCAATGACACTTATGGGTTTAATAACAAATATGACACTTTTCTTTTAAAAGTTACGATAATGTCACTCAAATAAAATATTATTATAAACATATTATTTTGTTCTTAAAATTGAAAGGAAACTCTAAAGTGATATGATGTAATAATATTTTTAGTCCACACAACTTGTACATTTTATTAGTTTTGTCATGAATCAAAATAATTGAATAAAGTTTCGTATTTAATTTTTTTTATCAATTTAGTCTCTTTTATGATATTATCAAAGCAAGTGAGTCTATCGGATCAAAACAATAATTGCATAATTGTATTCTACCACAAAACAACAATAAGTTACTATTTAAACTATTATTATACCAGAAAAGTGATAGAAAAATAATTTAAATTTATGGGAGAAAAACAAGACTGAAATGATGATTTCTTTTATATATGAAAAGTTAAATTTCTTAAATTATTTTGAATTACAACCAAATTAATAGACAATATAAGTTTTACGAATTAAAACTATTATTATATCAGGTCATTTATAATAATATTTTAATTAAATGATCTATTTGTAATTCTTAAAAAGAAAAGTAACACGTTTATTATAGAACTCATAATTAAATGACCTTGGGTATAATTTACCCTTTTTATGTGATAAAATGGCATGTATTTTAAACGATTCTCCTCTTGTAATAACCATTTAATGTGCCCAGCCAACATCCTCGCCTTTAGGTCGTCGTGCACGGTTGTGTTGTTACAATAATGACTTTGTTTGATGTATCTTGTTGTCACATACGACGTGATGAAACAAAGGAAGTTGAGGTACTATTAAGATTAGAAGTTTAACGAAAGACAGCGAGAATGTGAATGAATGGAGATTTAGATAAGGGACATGCTGCGATGATTGACGACATCCAATGCAGATTTATATATATTTCAAAATGGATATGTATCCATTTTGAAATTTAAATTTCTTTATATTAGTTTTCAATTTCATTGAATGTATTCATCCTGAAATTTTATTTGTGTTTGTCTCTTTTGAAAAACATTATGTTATTAATATATATGGGTCTACCGTGAAAAATATTTTTAAATCCGCCATCGACGACGACAATAATAATATCAAAGACGATGGTTAGGGTTATGGTTAGAGGATGTGTGCTTCTGCTTACCTTCTACCCAACGTCTCCAACATTCCTAATTTATGGCCAACCAAAGCTCTACCCTTCAGTTCCAACATACCTTCGCATTAGTTCATTTAACTAGCCCTCGTCTTTGGGTTGTCATGTGCGCTCGTGTTACCACTCCAATGGTCTTGTTTTATCTGTTCTACTTCCACGCATAACATCATAAAGTAGATAGAGTATAATGTCACAAACCGCTAGTTCGTGACCGAGACAAGTGCGGGCTGAACTAATCAAGACATCACTAAGATCATCTTGGGCCACTAAAGGAGTCTCAAGAATATCCTGGATCACTTTAGCTGAAGTGACCTAATTTGAAAAAGTCATTCCTTATTTATTTATTTATTATTATTTGTTTACCTTTTTATTTGAATTTAAAATAAAGATAATGTAAAGATTTAACTAGATTTCCTTTTAATCTTAGACATTGATTGTATTCAATTTCACCCGTTGGATGTAGGAAGTTTCAATTATAAATAGAGGTCTACTCCCGCCTCATTTTTCACATCAGTTTTGAGGAATAAAGTTAAGTATTCTCTCAAATTCTCTTGTTCTTGTGTGTGAGGCATTTTACTTTCAAAGATATGTTTGCTTTCGTATTTTTTAAGTCTTTTTACGTAGACTGTTCAACTTGACTTAGGAGAAAAGTCAATTAGGAGAAAAAATGAGTTTATTTTTTCCCTTTGTTTTTGTTATAAAAGGATGGGAACAAATAAAGTTTTAAAAACCTTAGAATTAAATTAAAAATTAATCTTTTGAATTAAAGGGAGCTAAAGGTCTAGTAACTAAAATATAATAATTTAATAATGTAAATAACCAAAATATTATTTTTTTCCAAAATCGATAATCAAAGTAATTCATACCAAAAACAAAAAGATCATCAATATAGTTAACCCTTATTTAATTTATTTTCAAATTTCAACTCCCTTTTGTATTATTAGCTGTTGGGTTGACGAGAATATGTGCTATTTCTTGTACAAATAAAAGTGTTCAACTTTGCAACCTCACATTGTCTAAGAACAAAGAGGGCCATTGATTATTTAATTGCTCTATGCTCTACACCTAAATTCGTATGTACTTTGCTGGTTAGGGCACAGATTCTTGTGCAGATGTATTTATATTACATGCAATGGCCTTGCGAATCTGAGGGATAATATATTGCTTAATTAAAGGCATGAACGTACGTACACTATTGAATTAAGCCATCATTTGGTGAAACTCATGAAAATCAAGCACCCCGTTACCGTCGATATAATAAACCCGAATCATTGCAACACACTCCTCATAAGACTTCACGTCCCCAAGGCGATTCAACATCGTTTGCAACCCTTTCGGAGTTATGCAACCCGAACCTTTCTTGAACTCGAGCATCTCGAACGCCTTCTTCAGATCGTCGTCGTAGCCGTTTTCTACTTTCATCATGTTCAAAAAGTCTTGATAGTCCAACATGCTATCCCCGTCAGAATCGACTTCTTTGATATCCAGCTGAGCATCTTCATGTGACATGTACTCTCCGATGGACCCGAAGTATGCCCTAAGTTCATGAACCGAGATTTTCCAGTCCTCGTCGCCGTCGAAATAGCGAAACACTTCTTTCATCTCCTCATGAGGCCTTTTCGGGGTTTTACGAGAAGGCGACGGTGACGATCCGGGAGAGGTAAGGGTTGAGCTAGACTTGGACAGACGGCGGTGAAGGCTTAACCTAAGGGTCATGTTTGAGAACCATTTGGAAGCCTTGGAAACTTTAGAGGTTGCCATTTAGTTTCAAAGGGGAGCAATTGGCGAAGATCGAAGAGCATAAATAAAGGTAAAAGCCATGAAAGATATTTTTTTTTGGGAGTGGTTTAGGGAAATTGCAGTGAAAGGTAGAAGATGAGATATCAATATATAAACGTATGAATTCGGTGGAAGGAAATTGCATGGAAACTTCCTAAAGGGACCCAAAATTGATTGACCGCTGTCCTTTACAAATTAAAAAGCTAACCATCTTTTAGGTCAAATTGTAAGAAAACAAATAATATAGGTACCATTTGTAAAACTTGACCATGTCTTTTAAATGACGAGTTACGCATTACCTACTTATTTGTCCGAATAAAGTTTTTCGGTATTAATTGATTGCTTGCACTATTAGATAAAATAAATTAAAAGTGTCATTAAGTTTGATGGGATTCCGTTCTTCATTTGAAAATTTCAGTCATGAATTATGTTCCTATCCGACTAATTGAATTTGAATGATTACAAAACACTAAATATTAAAATTTGATAATTTTCAAAAATTGAAAGAATTAACACGTTGGGTCTAGTTTTGAAATATATTGTTTATCTTTTTGAAAATACTTTTTACCGTTCAAATTTCGAACAAATGCCTCAAATCTCTTAAATCTAAGAAATAAACTCTTAATAATAATATTTTTTGTTTAATTTCATCGATTTTGAGTGAGTTTCATGATAAATCAATACTAAGAGAAGAAAGAGGATTGAAATATGAACGTTTTGATATTGATTTTGTTGCAAAAGGCAATTCAAAATGGATAGTGATTGCAATAGTCGCAATGAAATAATATTGTCTTGTTTATATCATCATACTATTTAGATTTTAATGACATAATTAAAGTTAAATCAAAGTTTAATGGTATAATTAAAATGATTAAATGTTAAATTATATAAATTATATACTATTGAAAGTTCAATGATATTAGATGTAGTTTACCCTTTATTAAAAGAACTCGAAGCAAATTTAAAAGAAATAAGACGTGCCTGCGACTCTATAACTACGCACCTGACCTTGACCAAGACTAGCACCAGGATAAGATATTATATCATTTTGAAAAGAAAAAAAAACGTAAGAGTAATTAAAGGTGAACATTAATATTGTAAATTTTTTATAAGAAGATGAATCGAATAAAATTTTATTTTTTAATTTAATCAATTACTTTGTGATTTGGTACTAGAAATTTTGGTTTGTACTCAAAAGTGAAGTGATGGCTTCTTTTTTTTATTGAAGGAAAATGATAGACAAATCAATCAACCATTCGTTTATAACCCTTATTCTTAAGGTATCTTCTTTAGAGGGAATTGAAGACTTAGTTCGATCAGCTTTATGAGGAGCCCGTATAAAATTCTAACTCGTGTTTTATCTAGAAGATTAACGGGTTGTATAAATAAGGTCGTCAGAGAAACTCAATTTACTTTCACTTCTGGCAAAGCAGATCACTGATTGCGCTCTAATTACAAATGAGCTTATCTAAGACGAAACAATTGTGTCAAAGCGGACTTCAAAAAGACGTATGATTGAGTAGATTGGTCGTTTCTAGACCTTATTCTTTAGAAGTTGGGATTTGGATCTAAGTAGCGTAAGTGGGTCAATTTGTGTGTATCTACATCTTCATTCTCTATGTTCTCCGTCTGATAGGTTCGACACTAAAAGCGGACTACGACAAGGATGTCCCCTTTCCCCTTTTTTGTTCAACTTAATAGGTGAAGCATTCAGTTCTTTAATCCGCAAGTCTTCTGAAATTAGCTTACTTAATGGAGTGTATGTGGGTTCCGATAGATTAATTGTGTCACACCTGTAGTTCGCGGACGATCTTGTTTTGTTCGTAGAGGCATCTAAATCTTATGTTACAAACATCAAGAGAGTATTAAGAGTCTTCGAGGTTGCATCAGGATTGAAATTAAATACGAAAAAGATCAAGATGTTCGAAACTAATGTGGAAGGCAGCTCTTTGACCAATTGGGCAGAATCGATTAAGTGTGGTATTGATTCACTATCGTCGTATTATCTCGGGCTTCCCCTGGGTCATTGTTGTAATTCTAAAATCATGTAACAGCTTATCATTGACAAATTTCAGTCAAGGCTTGATGGATGGAAATGGAAGATGTTTACCTTTCGTGGTCGGTTGACTTTGGTGAGATCGGTGTTATCAAACCTGTCGGTGTATTTTATTTCATTATATCAATTATTGGCTGCAATTGCATCAAAACTAAATAAGATGGTTGCAAGGTTTATTTGGGGTTCCTCCACCAGATGATCAATTCATTGGGTAAGATGGGAGAACATTGTCAGACCTAAAGAATACGGTGGACTCGGCTTCTACGATGTAAATCTTCGCACTCGGTCTTTCCTCAATAAGTGGATATGGAAATATGGAACTGAATCTAATAGCCTTTGAAGGAGAGTGATTGATGCTAAAACAGAAAACGACTCGAGGTGTCTTGTGCCTAGCCAAATCCAAGGTAGGAACGCCTCGTGGATTTGGAGGAATATTACCCGTCCCTTATTAAAGTCTGAAGATGGTTTCACGTCTAACTTACATGTCATTCTTGGTGATAGAAGGTCAATTGATTTATGGTTGGACCTTTGGACTGGAGTCTCGTCACTTAAGGCCTCTTTCCTCCGAATGTTTGCCCATACTGTAAAAAAGGAAGGCAAGGTCTGTGAGTTTGGTAACAATGTCAATGAAGTATGGGAGTGAAATATTCAACTTCGTAGACGCTTGTTTGATTGGGAGATCGAGTATTGGGAAGGATTTATGAACTCTATTACCAATGCAACTAGAAATTCTGTAAGTAGGGATTGTATAAGGTGGAGTGGAGCTTCGTCAGGCTGCTACTCATCCAAGTCTTACTGTAAATTAATCTCAGTTGTTGGTGCCAATGCGGACAGATTGTGAAAGCTGGTTTTGTGGGGTTTAGCTCCTCCTAAAGTGGAGTCGTTCACGTGGAGAGCTATTCAAGATCAAATCCCTGTTCGATCTGAATTACTGAAGCGCAAAGTTTGCACTCAAGATTCTGCATATATTCTTGATCTAGCCTTGCTAAGGATGGGCACATGGGTTAAAAGTAGGTGGCCTGAATCCTTCATGTCCATCAATGAGTTCATTAGGTGTCCTTCGGCCTTGACCATTCAACCTGGCATTTCTCGTAGACCTATCATCGATACTTGGGTTGCCCCTCTGCCCGAAAAACTTAAATTTAATGTAGACGCAGCATAACGGTGCGTCTCATTCGTTTCTCAAAATCCATTGATATGTTAGATTTAACTAGGGTGAAAATTCCTACAATTTTGGAAGCATGCCAGTTTTTCTCCTCCTCAAGGCAGTCTTGTCATCATAAATTGTTGATCGAATCTGGTAGTTTTTTTAATGTAAGTTGGATCAAAAATCTGAGGCTCTCTCCACCATCTTTTGATGTAAATATGGTTAGTTTCGGCATGCTTGTTCTTCACCTTGGCCGAAACTCTCTTGTGAAAATAAGTAAGATTTTTATTTTGATTTTTGAAGTTATACACTTGATTTTTGAATTCAGCTATTAGATAGATAATTAATCTACATGAAATTCTCTATCATTTGGTACCAATATTGCTTGGTGAGGATATTTGTGTATTGAGATTTGATGATTAGGGTTTAAGAAGGGTTTGCTAATCTTGAAGAATTAATGAAGGATTTTTATGTTTTTGACGTTGATGATTATTTTTAAAGCGTGCATAATGATTAAAATTAATTGTACATGTGTATATAAGGTTTGGTCATGTTAGGGTTTGTAAGAATGATGGGATTTTGATTCAATTTGATGTTATGATGATTGGAAATGCATGAATTTGATCATAGGAGGTTGAATTCATGCTTGAAATTGAACAAAAAGTTCCCCTTAGGTGACATGAAATATTCGGCCATAGGGAAGAAATTGGGGGGATGTTGAAAAATTTCCTACGGTTTATAAATGTTATTAGAAGAATTATATGTGAATTGGAGATTGATTTGAATCAATTTGGAACCTTGAAAGTGTAAAAGAGCTAGTTTACAAGTTTTTGGAATTGTGGGATATTACTGTAAGAATGTAACATTTGAAGGGTTCAATGTTGATTTTTAATATTTGAAATGCTGGAAATTAAATTGGAAAGTTGTTTGGAACCAAATTGCAAAATTGGTAAAATTTGGAAGTAGAATTCGAAAGGTCCTAATATAATGGGGACTTGTTTACAAGTTATTAAATGTAGAAATATCATTTGGGTAAATTATTGAGAAAATTTATTAGTATGCTGAATTTTAAATTAAATATTGAGTTAGGGTTGAATTACAAAATTACCAATGTAGACACCCGTTTTTGTCAGAGTCTTTTTTTCATTTTATTTATATTATTTATTTTATTATTATTATTATTATTTTATTTACAATTTACATTACATATTTTGCAGGCCAATTCCCGGAGCCCAACTAGCTAAGCCCAACACCCATATTACAGCAAGCAGCCCAAGCCTAGATACACCCAAACCCAACATTTGGAACCCAAACCCGGCCCAGCGTCCATGATCCAGACCCGATTAGCGACCCGACCCGGTTCCCTAGGGTTTATGAAACCCTAACCCTAGGGATATCATGATATTGTCGTCGCCGTCACCGCTCTCTGTTGCTGCCAACAATCCCTCCTGCTCACATCCAGCAAATAGTGACCGACTCCTGCTACAAATCAGAGAAATCATATCCAAACCCCAAATAAAAATCCCTAAATCCCAAAAATATGGGATTTTCACTCAGCTATACTCAGAGAAATCAAAGCCCTACATCCTAGATATCATCATCTCATCCAAAGAACTGATAAATGAAACATGCAACAAAGAAAAAGGACATTCGGAGGGGAAGGAAGAGAGAGATTTGGGGTTTAAAAAAACAGAAGAGAACAAAAAAAAGGAGGGCATTTGAAAAGAAAAATAAATAAATAGAGAGAGATAGAGGGTGCTTACCAGAGTTCGAACGGCCAGAATCTCAAGGGTCATCGGAGTTTTCGAATATTCGAGAGGTAAACCCTTAAATCTAGATATTTAGGGTTTGTTTTGGGCTAAATAGTTTTGGTTTTTGGGTTGAGGGAGGCGGGAGGAATGTTTTGAGGGTGGTTGGATCGCTCCGGCCACCGTAAGCGTCGCCGTGGGGCGGCGGCGGA